CTATGGATAACGTCTGCGTGGTGACTGACCGGCAACGAGAATGTTTCGAGGAGCCCATCCGAGTTTCACACGGGAAGCGTACTCCCTAAAATGGGTTCCTTCTGTGAGTACCGGAGCACAGATTACGTAATACAATAGTAATAAAAGACAGGAAACAAAACAACTCCAAATAAAGACTAATCCCAAGTGACCAAAAATACAAAGCTTTCCGGTACCTGCAGAAAGACCCCTAAAATGGCCTATACGGGGAGGCTCCTTTCGAAAGGGGTACTTCATTCAGGCAGGCATCAGGTAAATGAAAAGGATAGGATTTTACTAGTTGATGATGAAAGGGTAGAGAAATCGAAATCTGGCATTTCGGTCTTGAAAAAGGCCCAAGAGGGCTTACAAGACGCATTTTATAACTATGAAAAAGTGGAGGAACCTGGGAGGAAACGTTCTGGTTTTGTGACGTATTCTTCATATTTTAACTGACAGCAGTTAAAAGGAAAGCAAAGTTCTAAACTAGGTAGGTGAAAGTGGTAGAATTTGTCAGTGGAAGGTTTGCGAAAGGGGTACTTTTTCTGTCAAAAATGGTATATAAAAGGGTTATGCATCAGTCAATTCCACCTGCGCCCCCCCTCCGGGCTGACCCCCGGGCATAAGCATTTTTTTTGCCTTGGATGGCAAATTCCCGGGGTGGGGACTCTTGAGCTGTCAAATCCCCCGGGGTGGGGACAAAAAAAATGCCCCGTCCCCCGTCAACAGTGCAACATTTTTTATTGATCGCACAGTCCAATAGTGCCATTTTAATGTGCGATTTTTTGTTTCAATTAACGTCTTCCTTTGTAATAGCGCGAGGATTCTAATTAAGACTTCACGCCGCGAAGACATGCGCCAGTTTATGGTTTTAGTATTGATATAAAATTATTGACATTAACATTAATATTGATAGAGCGCTTTAAAGTTATATGTTATGAATAGTTAAATTATAAATATGAAAGGGTGTTCTTCAAATAATATCAACAGAAATTTGATTCAATAACCAAAAAACGTTGATTCACATCGATAGCTCCAATTTCGCTATGTAATTCTGGCTTGATAAGCAATGAAGAAATGCATGCATAAAATCGAGAACTAGCCTGCGAGCAAGCTCTCCTATTTGGGGGAAAGAATCCCTGTTTGTAAAAACCCTTAGTTGTAAGAACTATTGGTTGTAAAAACCCCTGGTTGTAAGAATCCTTGGTTGAAAGAAATCCTGGATGTAAGACTGTTGGAAGTAACACCCCTGTACGTAAGGCACCTGGATGCAAAACCCCCTTATGTAAGTCCCATTGTCGCAAGACCCCTGGATTTACAACCCCTTTATGTAGGAGCCCTGGACGTAAGCCCCCTGAATTTAAGAACCTTGGATGCAAAACCCCTGAACGCAAGATCCATGGTCGTAGACCCCCTGGATGTAAGACCCCTGAATGTAAGACTCCTAGACTCCAAAGACAAAACCAACATGGTACTGTATTGGTTTATTTAATAACCGACTCCGTTCTTATCGAATGGCTTGGTTACAATATTCACTCACTGCAAGGAATGTCCTAGCAGGCAATTAAATAATACAAAAAGATCTCAATGTAGTGGTAATATTATTATAATAATAAATAGAACTGATAATAGGGAACTTTAGCAAAGGCGTTTTTGAGCGACGTACGTAAACCGGAAGTGAACCTTTTTCTCTTAACATGTCATGCCGCTGACGAAAAGTCCACTTCCGGTTGATGTGAGTTGCTCAAAAACGTCTCTGCTTGAGGTCCCTAATGTGTTTCTGTTGTTGCGCGACATAAGCGTTTAATTGGCCACTCCAGAAAATACCATAACATACCATAATGCTTTTTGATTGTCGCCCCAAAGTTTTGCATAAGCATTGTCTTCAGTTTCTCTTGGGAGTTAAAATGGCCCCAAGAGAAACTGAAAACAATGCTTATGCAAAATTTTGGGGTGACAAACAAAGAACATTATGGTATGTTATGGTATTTCTGGAGTGGTCAATTAAGCATCACGTTTACGTACCCCTCCATTTAGTGCGTCTGCAGTTTGTAGTTTGCAATGTGAAGAAAACGTACAAAGTACAAACAAGTTCTTGGAAAAAAATGCATTTCTGATTTGCTTATTGTTCTGGTATACAAAAGCAATGGTATTATGGTCTACTGCCATCTGATCTGCCGATTGCCGTTTGTTACAAACATGATGCTTAATACCATCATCTTAGCATGATGGGTATCTTCTGCGGGAACTTTGAACAAAACATAATATGAAATAGGAAAACTCTCCAAAAATTTGGCCTCAGAAAAACGTGGCTAAAGATAGCCTAGCACGGCGGACGTAATATCATCCATATTCATTTAAAAGAGATGACAGTTGCACTCGCATCGAGCAAAACAGAAACAGTGTACTGGTCACTGAAAATTATGACCGACAATAGCGATTCCAGTAACGGGATCTCTAAATAAATGGTAAATTTAAAAAATTTCTTCTACACATGATACACCTAACCTCATTCTGACAAAGTTTAGTTTCCTATCACGTGGGTACTCAACAAAGTTCTATACGGAGAGGCTCCGCCCCGATGTCCAAACCCTTACGTTTCTAAATACCAATTCTGACGGAACAGGTGCCCCTTTTGTATACCTTCTATTGACAAGTGGCATCCCCTTCACATACCTAGTTTGGAACTATGCATCCCCTTTCACTGCTGTTAATGCAGTCTCTTTAAAACATGAATAAATAACAAAACCAGAACATTTTATCGACCTTTTCACAAACATAAAATGCATTTGTTAGGCGTTTTGTTCTTTTTACAGACCGAAAAGACAGATTTCGCTGCCCTTGCACACACTTCAACTAGTGAAATTCCTACCCTTTCATGTACCAGAAACCTGAAAAACGTACCTCTTTCGGGCGGAGCCTCCCCGCATATGCTATTATAGGGAGTACCTCACGGGTTCCTACCACACGGGCATGTAGCTATACATCACCATCCTAGTCCAGGCCTTCTCAGCCCCGCTAAAAACGGACCCTTCCGTACCTCATTAAAAGTTAACGCCGAAAAAGACTCTTCTCGCTCTCTCTTTTCATAAACCTTCGCGCGGACAACGGGACAAGAGAGAAAGCCTGGGGAAACTAGGTTGAGACTAACTGAGGAAATTCCTAAAGGCAAAAAGACTCTGATATGTGATTTGTTGGCATCAGTTCTTGTATTCATAAATAATTTCTGAATGCACTGGAGATTATTTTTATATCGTTTAATACTATATACAACTAACACAGACAACACACTGGGCTAAGAGGTGTAGGGAATTTTCACAGGAACGCATGGGTTGATACACTTTATGCGACATTTAAGTCACAACTGCAAAACATTGTTCTCATCTAACGGATCGCACTTTGCTGATGGCTGTCACCTGTCATGTGATGCCTGAAAGGGAAGGGCATGCGATAGACTGCGAAGAGTCTCTTTTTCTTCAGATTTAGTGAGGTTAGCACATGCGCGCGCGCAAGCGGTGAACGGCGAAGCCGCGAGACTTGAGGTACGAGGCTATACCTCTGGCGCATCCAGTCACGCGCGTGGTCATTTTCGTGTCTCGCGCCTTACGTTTGATGAACTAAGGAAAAAAAGAGACTGTTCGTAGTCTGGACAGGCGAGGTCATGCGAGAATTTCTCTTTTCAATATCATGCAAGTTTTATGATTAACGCAAAAATACAGCTATTTTGCAGTCTACCGACATACTGTTCAGTTCAGTTCAGTGCATGGAAATTATAATGACTTGGAGTTACCAGTTCTACTTTTGTTCCCTTGATTATTTTAATTATAGTAACAAATCCATGCAGGAATTAGGGGAGCAATTGCATGATTATACTTGCTATACTTCTATTATAAATCAATTTAATAAATTATCAATTTTAAAGATATTTATAAGGTAATTGTCGTCGAAGACGACGTGTAAAATAAGTTACTTCTTCTCTGTGTTGCAATCGTGACTTGTGGCTGCAAAGTTCATTATGAATGAAGTAATGTATTCGTTTGTTTGTGAACGAATGTGATTCCTCTAGGTATTAGGAGTTGTCCTTCGATCTACAAAATAATGACATTTAAATGCAAGTAAGCTACTTTAACATGGTTACGTATTTTGCACACAGTTACGTAATTTGCAAAAACCTTGACAAAATGCAATGATTTTACAATCGTTAGGAACGAGTTGCTAGAAGCCCAGGTTAGCCTGCTAGCAAGCTCTCCATGTATGGCGAGAAAAGCGAACCGGAAGAGAGCAAGCGAGCGAGCCCCTCGACTCACGTCTCATTTTGCGTGCTGCTCTCGCGTGACTTCTCGCGACAACCCCCCGCCCGGGTAACCTTTTTTTCGCCCGGGTAATCTAGGTTAACTGCAAAGAGAGAATATGGGTTACCATGGTAACGGTAAAACCACATACATGGCAAACACACTATTTGAGCGCCTGTTAAAAAGTAGTACAGCTACTAGTACTGCGTGACTGAAGATTGATAGTGTTCGACCATGTAAATCTTATCACGATGCTTACCTTTGCCATATTTTTTATTCTGAGGTTTTGAAGGGCTATGAGCTTGTTTTACGATCCTGTCTAAGCCGTCACTAAAGGCAGGGTTAAGACAAGATCGTAAAAATAGAGAAGATAAGGTGAGTACTTTTCTATATTTTTTACTTTTTCCATGTGAACCCTAAAAGCAAATCGTTGCTTTACGCAGTGTTGCTAGTATGGATGCACAAATTTTAAACAACCGCCATCATAGTGAGTTTGGGATGACAGCTTCTTTCAATACTTCACAACACAACATCAACTTGTGATGTAACTTTCGATAACTTCCTTGAAAAACATTCAGGTCAGCGGTTAACATTATTCCGTCTCAGGCCTTTTCAAACGACCACAGACGAAAACACCGAGAAACCGGAAGAAATAGAACAATGGTAAGAAGAGGACGTATATTGACGTCGTTTAAATTCAACGCGGTATAAATACCTGTTGGATGCCTTTTGTATGTATCGCGCCTCCTGTCGCTTGCTGAGTCTCTGTTCTCTCCGCCTCTGCGTGGACCGACGTCGTTCCCGGTAACTTCTGAATGTATTTTGAATGATGGCTGCCGCTCGTCTGCTTTTCTTGAACCTCTCGTGCTCACGGTGAGTGCGATATTGGTTTTGGATGATTAGGGCTGCCCGTGTCATCTTTTTAAACGCGATGTACTGGGAAAAACAAAAAAAACATGTACTACTTAGGTAGGGTTCACGCTTGCTGCCAGGGCACGGTGCCCGAGTAGAGCATAACCTTTGCAACAATGTGAACACACCGTTTCTTCAAGTACCCACTCGAGAATTGAGGCAAGATATGGGTGCCGCAGAACAGGGTCGGGACAAAAAGTGGGTTCCTGAGTATACTATGTACACGTTTTCTTTTAGGTCAGAAGCAATCTATGGTTTTGCATACCCATGGCTTCCCGCTACGTTAATAACGACAGCTCTCACGTTTTCCCGCCAAAATGACGTTGGTTCACGCGCGTGCACTACTTAATACTGAGAAAATCTCGTACTCGTAGTCGTCCTCGTCTCAGAATGTAAAGCTCTCTAGTATATCCAGGCAATAGCCGTGCAATTCAAAGTTGTTCAGGTTTGGGCCAGTAAAGGGTGAACAGAGCTTTAGAAGGACGATTACCTCTTTATATCTTCGATAATGATGTTGAATCAAGATAGCCGCCTCTATTTCTTGTTCCTGTTGATGACGTCTTGTCTACAAAGAACAAGAATTTACAAAAAGAGAGGCCAGTAAGACATTTGTTGTAGTTGTTGCGGTGCGCGAGGGGGTAGGGAAGGAGGTGTTGCTAGAGATACCTAGTCCTAAACCTCCCGACCCTCATTCCCTCATGCTTTGGAGTGACACTTTAGCCTGGGACCAGGCTCCGCAGTGGCAAAAAGGCAAAAACATCAGCCAGCGAAGGGGTTGTGGTGATGAGTGGGAGGGGGGGCAGATGGGGTAAACTGAGTTTACCTTGTAGTTCCTGTAAGCACTTTGAATTATCTTTGCAGCTTCATATAGTTCCCATTGCTCACGATCTGTTAGCGTGAGATCAGACAAATCTCTTTCCAGAAGTTTACGAGAACTGTAAATAAACTCCTGGAATTCTGTTGTGTCCGGTCCGACGGGTGAAGAATGGGGTGAGTTTAGAAAGCCGGGAGAGCCTGGAGAGAGTGAAGATTTGGAGGAGCAAGGTGTCAGAGGAGAGGACTGGGAGGAAGCCGAACTGAAGGTGCGTAGTCTCATAGCGGAGCTCCAAGAACCAGTAACAAGTTCGGTATTTTCGTGAAGTGGTGATAAATGCCCGGGTATACGATGACCGAGTTCGGCTTCTTGTTCGGCTTCGCTGATCATGGAGTGAATATGTACTAAAGTTTTAGCCAAAGTGTTCCCTGGCTTTTTCGAAAACTGTGGTTCCATCTCATCTTCATCAACAAACATCGGGGAACCCGCTCGCTCCTCCATGGTGGTGTCCACAGGAGGTGCCAAAAGGATACGAGATTGAGGGGCCAAGGCAGAAGGTTGAGGAGAGCTCTCGCAAGATGAGGCCATTGGTGATGAGGTGACGTCTGAATCATGGCCCACACCGAGAAAAATGTGCCTATAGAGAAATAAAATGAACGCACGAAATATTAACAACATTCAGTAATTTAAAGTGCATACGAAGCCAAGTTTCACTACCAACTTGGAGGGAAAAAAAAGCTAATTAAACAACTCGTTCTATGAGCTTCACGATATCTCTAAAAATTCCCTTGACTATACGCACTTTAAGTCGACTACATGTTATTCTCATGTCCGTAGATATTGACTCAATCAACCATTGTTATCTTTTTCCGTAAGTGGTGTAAGAATTTGGAACAAAATTCCTCTCAAGTCACGCGAACAAGGGAAAAGACCCTTTCAAGCGTAAATTACATAAGCTAATGCTCAAGGTTTTGGATACTGAGAAAGTGTATGTTGATATGAGTGCTATTACCAGTTCCTACCTGAACTCCGTATTCAGTTAATGTGTTTTCTTTCCTTCTATCCATAGTTTTCTTTTACCATCGTACTTAGTTTTAGTTTTACCATTTACTACTATCCGTTCTATTTGTGCGACATTTTTTTGCTTCCTCTGAATTCACTTTCTTTTCCCCCGACTTTTGGACTTTGTATTTATTTATAGAAGACTATTACTGTATTGTTTCCCACCTAGAATAGCTGCGCTAATTGTGCGTACCATAACTGTAACATATTTTCAGATTGAATAAACTATTGTTGTTCTTTGTGATAGCTAACTTTGTGATACTCTCACTCGTATTCTTCGTTGACGTTTTTTTTTCTAATAAACCCACCTGTTTGGAAAAGATGTGACTGAATCCTCAATAATGTCCACTACATCCAGGAAACCTCGATCTCTTGCCAGCTGCAGTGGCATACGCCCGCGAGCATCGGGCTCCAGTAACGCTTTGGGCTCTGTCTCTAACAACATGAGTGCCGCGTCTGTCCATCCCAATGCGCATGCCCATGTTAGGGGCGTACACGCAAACTCGTCCTTTCTGAGAGGGTTTAATTCGTCTCTGACTAGCGCGCTTTGGCTTTCCCGCCAAAACTTGAGCAGTGTACAAACGAGTCTGTTATAACCAAGGGCAGCGGATAAATGAAGCAGTGTCATGCCTCGAAATGGCTTCTCGATCTTTGTTAGATTTCTAATGGGACAATTGGAGCGATGAAAAATCTCGCAAGCAGCGATGAGACGATCTTCGAATGTCACGCACTGATTTCCTTGAGATTGATTCTCGGAATTGTTTGTCTGGCTTGCATTGAGTCTAGACTCCAGTCTCTCCAAGCGATCCAGTAAAGCAAGTTTAAACCGGTCGCTATCAGTGGTAAGCCACTCGTGACAGCCGGAGCTGCCCGCCGGCGAATCACGTGCACGGTATTCAAACACGCAGGCGTTGCTAACGATAAATCCATTACAAGCCACCTGAAGGGTGACCAGGCCTGGGTCATGTGACGGACAAAAGCATCTCAAAACGCCTGCTTGGTACAAGATCGCAGGCACGCTACAACCGTCAAATAAACACGTGTAGACGCCCTGCTCGGTCCTCCATTCACCAGTAATGAGCACTTTAGCTCCGCCCTCGGGATAACACCACTCGGGTGAAAAATCCGTAATGCGCGCAGAGCCTGGTACGACATGATTTCGTGGATGCGGAGAGGAGGTGAAAGTCGTGGTTTCTCCAGCATCAATCGGCCGTGAAGTGTTGTTGTTTATGTCACTTGATAAGGACTGATGGTTTGAGTTTGGCTTGGCAGATGAGCCATGAGCAACTTGGTTTGATGTAGGCTGTGAAACCACCGGAGTCATACATATGTCGGGCACAGTAACTTCACTGCCCTCCCGTTGGCCTCCAGCAAGAGACTGGGTGCTAGCCCTACAAACCGATACCCCGGATGATGACGAAGGCGTGTTATTTGAAACGCTGACAAAACATGACGTCACAACGGTGTTTCTTACCGGACTGACAGGTTTCACGAACACGTACGAAGTTGTCGATGACAAACCGGGAGTGGTGACGTGGAAAGTCCCTGGTGGTTGACTGACTAAACTGTCTGCAGAGAACGAATTGAGCGTGAGTGATGACGATTGCGTTGATGTATTTGAAGCTGTGGAATAAGTAGGATGGAGATTTTCGCCGACGGACGTTGCAGGAATGTTTTCGCTTTGTTTCGGCGGTGAGTTAAGGCACTCCGGTATCACGTTACTCAGATTACAATCGAACATGTCGTCAAAACCGAGCAATTCAAGAGGTGAAAAGTCCGTCGTATCAACTGGTACATCGTTGCCGCTAGACTGGGATGCCCCGGGGCTGCAATCAGCCAGCCAACACATCCCTTGCGACAACCCCTGGTCACTTTTTGCTGAATCAGCGAAATTCAGCGGACAATCTCGGGTTACCGGAAGAGGTAAGCGAAACGGGCCGTCAAACATAGCTTGATCAGAGTCGGGGAAACTCTGAGCACTTAGTCCACCGCTCAACGAGTCGGATCCTGAGAAGCTAAGCCGGGTGCCCGCATCAGACATATAACTGCCATAGTCGCTAGACGGACTGCTACTTAAGTCCGCCAAACGTGGGTGAACAAAGACTGAATTCCACTGAATTCCAGAGTTAGAAGACGTCTCTCGAGAGAGCGGATTGATTGAAATGGCGTTTGACGCATGATTTTGTTGAGGAAACTGAGAATTTGCTGCCGTAGTTACAGTTGTAGTGCTGACCGTATTCTGAACCGGACACGATAAAGCCGACACTGGTGGATTCGTTACCATAGGAACGGCAGAAAGTACGGATACGTCTCTAGGAGACTGTTGGTTAAAGAAATTCTGCGCGCAGGTGGCAAACACGTGATTATCACGTGTGCTTGCTGATGTAACTACTGACTGGCACATGCTTTGACCGCGTTCGTTTATTCTCCCAGAATCGTTGCCTTCATGAGAAGAATTGTCTTCGTCTAAGGAAGGTGACCCCTCCCTATGACCCGTCACAGTTAAGCGTCCTTGTTCATTTCTAGTGACTTTCATCACCTTTAGGCTTAATTTATCATTTTGTGGCACGGCTTGTAGGCTTTTATTTGGAGAAATGGAGATCTTGTAGATGGCCTTGTTTCGTTTTTGTTGTTGTTTGCCTTTGGTAGACGAAGTATCACCCTCCTCTGATGAAGATGGTGAGGCAGGGGGACTCTCCTCAGAAACCTGCGAAAGATAAACATTGTGCAATTTTACTGTCACGGCAAGCAAACGAAACGTCGAGGAAATTAAAATACCTTATTGGTACTAAATTTTGCGGGTCTTTAATTTAACGCTTTTCGCAATTATAAAGAAAATTAAAATACCCCCGTAAAATTCCGAAAATAAGCCCATCCAAATATAAGCCCCCCCGGGGGCTTGTACTTGGAAAATTGCCCTCAAATACAAAGTAAAACAAAGCAAAAACGGTAAATTTACTTCCAACTATAAGGCTAGCCCAATCGATTTTGAGATGTAAATTTCCCTCCGTAGGTAAGCCCATCCGAATATAAGCCTCTCCAAAAATAAGCCCCTCAAAAAGGGCCTTTGAAAAATATAAGCCCCGGGGCTTACTTTTGGAATTTTACACCTCAATGGTACTAAATTTCACGGGTCTTTAATTTCGCGCTTTTCGCGATAATTTTATTGTAAAAAAATTCCGAAATTAAAGACCCGCGAAATTTAGTACCAATAAGGCATTTTATTTTTCTTTACAATTGCGAAAAGCTCGAACTTTAGTACCAATAAGGTATTTTAATTTTCTCGACGTTTTGCTTGCTTTTTCCAGGAGGTTTCCAACCAAGATGGAAAATCACGGAAATTCCAGGAGGTAGGGGGTACGACAAGCACCCCCTGGAATGGAAATCTCAAGGGGGTGGGGGGTCTAAAGAAAACGTGCCCTCCGTCAGGAGGGTATGGATGTTTTCTGGAACTACACATTGGCCAATAAAACTGATATCCTTTCGCATAAAAAATATTACTGTTTGATAACAGCCATATTAGCTGGTTCTGGGATTGGAAATACTTACCGTGACTTCAGGCTTGACATCAGGAGAAACACCCGAATCTATTGAAATAAACAAATTTTACTCACTTTTTTCCGAGCTGGCTAGATAGTCATCCTTAAATTTTTAGTTTAATAGCAGCCGTTATAGGAGTGGCAAGAACAGCATTCACTCTCTAGGGTAATTACCGAACTAAAATGGCCATGGAAGTTTTTATCAAAATTTTATGACTGATTCGAGTAATGAAGCAAAACAAAAAGAAGCCTTGGAGATTTCAAATGGAACAGCAGGAGGAGTCGCTAAAACCTGCACATGAAAACAGTGCTGTCTTGTTTTACAAGGAGACAGATAATTACAATTAAACTAGTAATAACCAAAGGTTACGGAGTGCGGGCGACAACGATCGAGGGTCAAAACGCTTTTTCTGCAGCGCTGTGCTTTACGTACGCGTGATCAGATAACGAGAGATAGAATTTCCAAACGCGCGTGATCAAAGTGCGTTCTGTGCATTCCATTCGTTCTTAGTGGAAGTCCAAACGAATGCTGGCTACATACATGCCACGCACGCGTAAAAACAACCTGGAGATTAGGATTCCGGGCTCCTCTTGTCACCCGCAAATACGAAAGAAAGGAGATAGAGTCTGTTCGCAGTCACACTATTTTCTTTTAAAAGCTCGAGGGCACAAATGAAAAAAAGGATGAACCCTTCCCCTATTGCATTCCGTACAAACAAAGGAGCTAACCCAACTCCCATCTGTTACATGCACTTTAAAATCCCACAATCAGTCACAGGTACCACAACCATAACAGTCTATGAATTGACTGATGCATATTCAGAGCACATACTTACAGATGGCTTTCAGCTGCTGTGAAATATCATCGTGACTATCTGGTGACATGTATACTGACACTGTAATGGGCTTGCTGCATTCTTCAACTAGGTTCAGGTAATGCACCAACACAATCTGAGGATTCTACAACACATACATAATTTTCGATATTATTAATAACCCTAAACTAAAAATTCCAAATTTCTAAAATTGTAAAATCCTTAAAATTAAATAGCACCATGAAGAAGCTCAGCTTAAGAGGATTCATTTGAAAGGCAACACCATAGGATTTCATCCACGGACTCAAAAGTTAGAACCACGTACTTAACTAAATCTATAGTACCATGTGAAACTACTGCCAAAGACAATTCATTTAAATGGTAACACCATAGGAATTCATCCACGGACCCAAAAGTTAGAACTACATTCCAAGTAAATAGTACCATGTGAAAGTACTGCTGAAGAGGTTTAATTTGAATGGTAACACCACAGGATTTCATCCACAGACTCAAAAGTTAGTACTACATACTTAACAAAATCTTTAGTACCATGTGAAAGTACTGCCAAAGAGAATTCATTTAAATGGTAACATCATAGGATTTCATCCACGGATTTAAAAGTAAGAGGGACAAATAAAAGACCCACTCATCCTGTTGTGACTTTAACCCTTTTTGAGCGACAAAAGTGACCAACATCAATATTTTCACCTCACAATATTCATACATCATGAACAGAAAAGGTTAGAAGAATTAATAATATCATCACCACAGGAAAAAAACGATTTGATGTTTTACTAAACTCTCTCAATTTATTCTCCAAGGAAATGCATGAAAATCGATCAGGAGAATTTGTATGTGGATATTAGGGCTTAAAAATTTTAAACAAGTGAAATACCTGAAGCAGCCAATAGCAGCGGCGATGAAATGTGGGCACCAGAGCTGAATGTGTGTATAGTACACTCAAACACTACAAGAGAAAACAACACAGACTGAAATAACTCCCAACAAATCCTCAAAATTCCAATAATCTAATCTTTAACACCACCATATTCCATTTTGTCTTGTGACTAACAGAAGATTCAGCTCTTAATATTGAAAGAACATGGCAAAATTTCCTCTCCAACTCTAAAACTTTCACTCTACATGTAATACCGACACCAAACATTTTTTCAAATGTGCAGCATTATTGATGACAACCTCCTAGTTCTGCACAATTTTTAATATATGATACAAAAGGCAAATCCAATACTTTCCCTGTAAAGTTGAAAACGTTTGCCTTTTCCTTAGCAGTTTTTTGGTTGTTTATTTTTTTTACCAGATATTATTGGATAAATTTAGGTTTCGGGAAACTGCCCACGTACCCCTCCTTTAAGCCATCATTTTGCCCTAAGTGGGAAGTAAGTGATAATGTTAGGTTATGGGAGGGGTAGGTGGGCAGTTTCCCAGAAACCTAAATTGCTCCATGTTATTCATATAGCAGTTGGTATCCACTTCATGGTATTTTTTTCTACCTTCCAATGTTTCTGAGGCAGTAGTTTAACTATTACCTCAATTCCTTCAACTTTCAGTCGAGTGTGATCTTCTCGGATTGTGTTTCCTGATCTTCTTTTCTTCCACGTGTAGCCATCTTTGCGATAATGTTTGACCTAAATATTGAGACAGAATGGTCACAGATCAACAATGTGGCATCAAAACTTTAACCATCACTCCACCCTTCAAGAGATAACCAAATTTCACAAAATACAACGCATAACTAGTGTTGATATGAAGAGATTTTACTTGGGGAGCCCCTGGACCCCCTTTTCTGCCAAACATAGGGGTCATGGAGAATGATCAGAGGACAGAGCTACCCATATAAGTCAAGATACATTGTAAACCACTCAGATAAATAACAAGACCCTTCAATTAATGGTCTTCACTTCATTAGAACTCCATTTAGGACCTTATGAAAGCTGTTTTGTGTTTCAGTAGCAATCACAAGCCACTACATGTACATGAGCATCAAAGGAAGATGTAAGAAATAAGCGTTGACAGGCCAAACACGACTCATAAGCTCGTGATAATGTGAAACGTGACCTTGAGAGTCTGCTTGAACAGTGGTTCTCTTTCTTTTTTCTCTCGCGCAAAGGTTACTAGCACTACACAGTGCAAGACGCGTAGCATTCTAAACTTTGACTGAGTAAATCTTGTTTTTGCCGCACTAAGTCTTATTTTAGAGGTCATGAAGCAGGTTTGTTACATGCATACTGAGTAATCATTTCCTGTGGTTTATGCTTCTGTACTAGGTGTCCCTGGCAGGATTTGATTTCAGAAGCAGTTGTTAAGTGTTTTATATCCTTTGACCTCTGTTTATTACGGCTGAATAAAGATTTTAGTTTTTTTGGTTTTCTCCGAAATGGCTGTATCTGAATAACTACATGCATGCATGCAAGTTTCTTTGTCTGTGAATGTGATTATTTCCTGCCATGTCAGTATGACTCTGGGCCCAGCTCTATAGTGTGGTTTACAGGATTTTGAATTTCCACGGATAGTGCGATCTTCAGATATGAGTTGTACACTGTAGCTTAAAAACTAAAGCTACACCAAGTTTGGAGAAATATGCCGTGCGTCAGTCAAGATAATTCTCTTAGCGCTCACACAGTCCATTTAGTTTTTCTTAACATAAGTGAGTCTTTGAACTAGGTCTTGTTTTCCTCAAGGTTTTTCTTAAGTTTTTTAAACAGTCGTCTGTGCGACTGCTATGGATTCTTAAGCAAGACTGCAGTTTCGGAACTATAGCGTTCCTCGTCAGTTGCTACTATGGTAAAGTCTTAGGTACAGAGAGCGAAGCAGACTGTTTAAATACTGGTGGCTAGGACCAAAAATACTAACTTGCCATTGGCTGCAAAAGTGACCAATAGCGTAGGTGTTTCTTTGATCCGCATTATGTTGTGTTTCCTTCAAGGTCAAAAATGCTTTTTGGACTGAACCGGTATGATAGTATCTGACTAGGTTGCAGTGATGGCAGGTCACTGACATGTCGTAGTGCGTGTAAGTGTCTTTCTCAGGAGATTCGAGATATTTTCTCGTAACTTTCTCCGGCAAAATCAGTAGCCCGAGTGAGATTTCTTCCCACGAGTTATGACAGAGCACTGTCAAAAAATATCATAGTAAGAAATAAGCGTTGACAGGCCAAACACGACTCATAAGCTCGTGATAATGTGAAACGTGACCTTGAGAGTCTGCTTGAACAGTGGTTCTCTTTCTTTTTTCTCTCGCGCGAAGGTTACTAGCACTACACAGTGCAAGACGTGTAGCATTCTAACATGTTTTGGGTAAAAAGCTGGAGTGTTTCCTTGTCTGTTTAAGAATGACTCAATTACAATGTACTTCTAAGCCTTTCCCTGCATAGTACAGGTACAACACTGTATGACCCTCAGCTCTTTTCAAGGGGAACAAAATCAAAATAGAACAAAATGAGCTTTTTTGCTGTACAATTGCCCAGCTAATGACTGCATAATACTTGGCAACTTGAATTTTTAGTGACAGCCTTGCATATTAGGGTAATGCCCCGCCACTTTATACTCTATTGGCATGCTAACAACAACACTGCGTTACTTATTTTTACTACGGCTGGATTCAGGGCTGGAAATTTGAGGGGATGAATCTTGTTTCATGATCAGAAAACCAAGTGGGAAAGATGAACCCATCTTTCCTGTCTGCTAAACTCAAAATTGTCACATTTTATTCCCACATTTTATAAATCAACATTTCCAACAAATTTTTGTGACAGCTGGTAAACAAATTATCCTAATAAGCAAGCCCTACAAACCTTGCTCCTGTCAAAAAGAAACATAGATCCATTTTGTGGCCTAAGAGAAATCAAAAGACAAAAATAATAAAAATTTCAGTACCTACGTGTACATATTTTCTTTGTGCAGGTTATGTCACAACCTACAGTGTCATCTGAGCAATATGAATAATTAAACAGTATATAATGTTTCTAAATTAATACAGCAGAACCCTGATAACTCGAACTCAGATAACTCGCACTCTCCACCAACTCGAACGAAGTCCAATTTCCCTTGGATTTCAACCCACTTTTCAGTTGTTTTTACTTCATTAACTTGAACTCGAATAACTCTAATTCCCCCCTAACTTGAACTAAATTTCCCCTCCCTTGATCAAAAATTCACTGAAATGTACCCCGATAACTCGAATTTGATTCTGGTTCTTGTAACTTTACTCAGATGCCATCCCATTAGCTCTTCTTTTTGCATAATCGGTAAAAACACTAAGACTAACACTGGTCGCCTACAGTGGTATACATCAATTTGATTTTAATTGTTGCAACAAACAAATCACATTTTCTCATTTAAAAATGCCTAATCATGTTACTGTTTCTGATGAAATACAGTGTAAGTTAAATTTGCACTGCACTATACACTGAAGTGCTGAATGATACATGGCAAATTGAATTTTGCAATCGACCCCATTAACTCGAACCCCCACTAACTTGCACTGTTTTTCATTTCCCTTCAGAATTCAAGTTACGGGGGGTTCTATTGTATCTGAAACTTCATAAAAATACTTTGTTCCAAAATAATTAGGATTAACTGAGTTCACAGTACGAGGATGATAACTATTCTGTTACTATTTTGTTCAAGTAATAATGTCAACATTAATGAGAGAATCCCCAGAAAAAAAATATTTTCACACTCTCTTCATAAGGGATTAAAATCTTAACCATAACAAAATTTTAATCTCTGCTTGGCCAATAAGGTTGTCTGATAGCAGCAATTAAGTCACCAGAGAAAAATGTCATGCTTTATGCTGTAATCAGGTCTTCTGACAGGGTGCCCAAGCATTCAAGTACATTATGAGGTATTTCTAGCTAGGAGGTCACATAATGCAACAAAAAAGTGCTATTGTGGGATAAGTAATAATTTGTGCAATTTCTAACAAGTATAAACAATTGCTTAAGTGAAACAAAGCTGGGTGGAAGAGCTGGGAAGTAGCCAAAGCAGTTGTACAAGACAGAAAGTGTTGGTCAGACAGCGTGGAGGCCTTATGCGTCTACTGTCGGGATGAGACTTGATGATAAACAATAACTATTATTTTAAGCAATTATTGCCTAAAATAATAGTTCTTCGTTTCACACCAAAATTAGAAATTTCAAGAGCTCTGCATGATGTTTCCAAAACAAAATACCCTTAAATCAGCATTGTAACCTTTTATGAATTATGTGATTGGCTGCAATTTGAGATCAATTATACAAAACAGTACTATCGAATGACATCAGAGGCCCTGTGTATAATACTTGTCTTACACTTCAATTATTTCTTTTCTAAAATGCTTCACGCCGAAAAAAAGTACAAAACATGGCATTACACCATTACGGCCTGCGTAATTAAAGTTCAGTAACAATCTATTTTTAAGTTAATTCATTAGTAAAGGCAAATAATTTGTAGCTACCTGTCAGCAACTTCTCTTGTTACCCACGCATCATGGTTGCTCAAACTTGTTAGCAAGGAAAGTACCTCCTAAAAATAAAAAGAATGACACGTATTGAATATTTAAATCTTCAGCTTCCTTATCATCTTTGCAAGAAATAACGTGAAAATGATCTGAAATTTATTACGCTGCAAGCATTGAACATTAAGGACAACAAATCCGTGCATGGATTAAGATGAGGGGAAAGTAAGAATTATGGACCTTGTAAGAGACTACTACCTCCCTAAAAGAGACAGCCAAAGAACTGATTCCTCCATGTACTGATCATTCGGTGGCTTACTTTAAATAGCACTCAGTATATGCAAAAAGGATTTAGTAGTAGAACATTTGTTGTCGTCATTTCGCTGTTCTTGAAGATTCATTTGATTTTCAGTGTCTCAGTATTTTTTAACATTTCAAGTTTATTCACCATTCACGCACCGAAATCGGGCTTGCCTGTTTTCACTTCTACATCAAAAGCGTTAACAGAATGATTGGACTAGCGTGAATTGTCTCTGGGTCTTCGGTTTCTATATCTCAATTCTTCTCTTCATGTCAACTGCTAGCTCAAAACTGAATTTTAAACATGGCGCTCAAATGCAAAAGTACCCTTCAGGGAATTTAGGGAATGCATTGCTATCGGCAACAGATATAATTTATAACAACATTCATAGACTGCATGTACTTCCTTGTTTATCATTCCAGTTCACTTTACTGATCATACTTAACTGATAACCAAGAGAACACTAATAGAAGTAGCATTGTGTAAGTTTGGCATCTTCAGGCCCCAGTTGTTGAAAAGGTGGATAACGCTATCCACCAGATAAGTCTCTATCTAACAGATAGTGCAATATTAGTGTCCTGGCTGGTACTTATTCTCTGAATAGCGATTTATCTGGTGGATAGTGTATCCAGGTTTTGAACAACTGGCGCTAGGAGCTTATAGAAATATTGTCTGGTAAAGAAAGGTAACAACAAGACAAGGTTCAATAATTATTGCATTGAGACAGATTATGGTGTCTAGAGATGACTCACTCCTCCAGAACAGGCTCTACATGGAAACACCAGTGCCAAAAAGCAGCTTATACTAATAACTTATACCAGTTGTCTGTTGGTTGATACATTATAAATAACTTATTTACAGTATAATTTTAGCCATTTATTCCAGTGGCTAGAGTGCCAGAGTGAACTCTTCCCAGATTAAGGTAAGCCACTGATCTACATGGCCAGCAATCTGACCAGACTCACATTTCTTCCATACCAAAATTAAAGATAATATGCCCCATTTTACATTGCACATGGCTTTTTTTGTATACTGTTTTTAATTCCACTGCTAAATCTCACTTAATTATTGATTTCCACTCATAATACTTTGATCATGTAGACATAAAAATTATTTCCCCTAAGGCAATCTTTTCAGAACAGAGAGGCAATAAAATTTTCTAAAGGAAAACCATCAGAAAATTTAAACATTTTAGGTAGAAAACATGTTTCAAGAAAATAATGTACAACACAGTGACAGAATGATAAAAGCTGACTTCTAAGTTTACAAGTACTAAGATCTGAGCAAACAAAAAATAATTACTAAATGAAATCACTCATGATAAATTTTCAAAAAACATCTTTGTTATGCTAAAGAGAAAAATTTCATGTTAAAAGCAAACAGAAATTGGTTTTAAAATTTCAAATTTTCCACTGAGAAATTAGGCAAAACAAAACTTTAAAAGGTATGTTGCTATGCAAATATGGCCTTAATCTTGTTAATGATCACTTATACAATAGCTGTCAGAATCTCTTGAGATAAAAAGCATTTGGTTTTGTGTTTATAAAACACACTTGATAACATTGGTGCTTGAAAACAAGCTGGAATCAGATTTCTTTAAAGTTCTTAAAGTTTCCCTTTCACCTGGAATGTTTGCATAGACAAAGCCAATTATAAACAACAATAAATTACCTACAAAAGATGTATCAAGAAAAAGATATTGCTTTTCCATAAAATTTTCAACAGATATGTTAAAGAAAGGGTAATCAATCAAGTAATTATTTTTTTTCTCAAAATATCCTGGGCAAAATCATGAAGTCTAATAGTATATAACATGGAAAGTTACCAACACATGACTTTCATTAATAATAAATAATAATATTATTTTTGACAGAAAAATAAATCTGTATGCATGTGGAAAGGATATTACTAGTATTAGAGAAATAAACAAATATTTTCAGTTTCACAATTTGGTGAATTCATCTACTACACTTGTGACAGTTTTTAGGTGGAAGGTATAGTCCCAAGACAATGATATGGTTTCAAGATTACATCTCAGCAAAAAAGATTTTCTGTGAGCTATATTAGCCAAAGGCCTTTCGCAAGGAGTGAAAGATTTCCAATAAAATATTCATCTCTAAGATAACAAATTTGCATGACAGTACCACTGAAAAGAAGGGATGGAATTATGCCGTCAAATTTAATTTTTCACAGCATCCACCTATCTATACAAATTTCTCTGGAAGGAAAAATATGCGCTCTGAACAGAAAACGATCTATTCGACCTCAAAACGACTATAAGTGGAAACAAAAACAAGTCCGTATTCAAACATGTCCGTGTTTTCTTAAGATAAAATATCGTAAGCTGTTTTTATAGCAAATACCACAGATATATTTAAAACACAAAAAGTAAGGATAATATTTTAAGACCGACAAGCAACGCCGTACCCCCCATGTTAGAGCTTTGGTTTAGTGGACACGAAACAAGGAATAATGTCACGAATCTACACTCTACAGCTTGTTTTCCGTTTGAGAGAAAATAAAATTTGAGACACGCAAATGCTTCTTTTCTTCATCTAACATTGGGCCTTGTCCAAAAGAAATACTAATGAGAGATCACGTCTTACCGTCTAGAGGAAACCTCCAAAAAATAAACAAATAAGAGCCAGTCGAAAACCTTTTTAATTCTGACTTGGCCGTCACGAACGATTATGCCTCAAATGATTTGATTTTAGAAATTAAACTTGATGAACAATTTTCACGACGTAACTACTCACAAAGGGTAAGACCAAAATGTGAACAAGAGTCCAGCGTTCATAGAAAATAAAATCGTTGACAACGTCCTATTGACACTATATGCAAACAAGACAGGAAAACTAAGTCTGTCCCGATTTCAAAGTCTACAACTCATTCCAAAAATATTTAGTCATAAACTAAAATCAAGCGTACCTCATTAGTGTTCCACTTGTACTTTATGGCCGGGAAGTCATCTGCTTTCTTGATTTTCGCTAATTTGTCAGGCAAAGCGATCTCAGAAGGCTTAGGTTGCTGTCTAAATTCGTGTTCCGCTGTCATTCCTAGATTTCCAGGGAGATTTCACCGCCAAATTCAATACCCGGCACGACAACGGGACGAAGACATCCCTTCGCAGATTGCAATCCCACGACCAATTTGTGCTCATGCTAGGATATGGCTTATGAAAATTAACAGGGGCATAATTATTGCAAGACAACGTGAAAGTCGTGGAGGAAATAACCTGTTCTCTCGCTACAACACACCTGCCGCCATACCTTCCCGTGCAACGGTGAACTGAGCCTGCGATCAACACCCGATTGAAAGACAAGCGAAGAGACTGCGGCGTCAAGTATAATTACTAGAGTGTGTTGTACCAAGCACGCGCGACGTGGGCGTTTTTCAACGACGAACGTCAGCCGGAAACGGACTACTTTGCAGTCATGGGGTAAAATAGACATATTAAATTCTACAAGCAGAATAATGCAATGCTGATCGTACTACGTGAAAATTAACTCTTCAAGACATCAACACGACACAGAAAGAACTCAAAACACAGCGGGATTGTAGCCATAGACAGCTGTTTCGCCCTCTTTGGGGCTCGTCAGTATGGCGTAACAGCCAGAGAAAGCTTAGCCTGCGTAGCAAGCGTTTCCGTTTGGTTTCGGAGCGAAGAAATACCGAGGAAGGGGACTTTCGGTTTTGACCGCGCGAGAAATGAAACGAGAGCCAAAAAGTGAAAGAGGGGGGAGGGGGAGGCTCTCTTTTACTTGCGCCACTTTTCTCGCGGTCCTTGACTCTCGTTACTCGTTCTTTTTTCCTAAACCGTACAGAAACGCTTGCTACGCAGGCTAGAGAAAGCTCTGGTGAAAAATATCCGCGCACTCTGATTTAAGCCCTGACCTAGAACTCTCAACACCCAGAGAATTTAATATGTCTTCTTTTCATTTTTGCTGATCAGGTCTTTATAGATCCTACGTTCTTCGGCATATTCGTTTGCGGTCCTTTGCAGTCCTTTGTGGTTAATGTTTGTGCTTTATGGGATGAAATAACCCGTGCGCAAATTTGATAATGCTACCGAGAGGCTCCGTCCGGCGCTTCAGCCTCGCAGCCGCGACTTCGCTGCGAAATATCACGAATTTATTAAGCTTTATTAGAAAGAAAAAAACATGACATATGGGGAAGGGTACTCCTGAGCTCCTGGGAATTCTTGGTGGGGGTGTGCCGCCCGGTTCTCCAAACCCTGACCCTATTTCAGACCAAAAAATGTCATTTTTCACACCCATTTTCAGACTTGGCCTTTAAGCAGAAATTACGTTATGATTACTTACAAAAACAAAGTTCTTTAAACGCATTTTAGCCTGCGTACCAATCGTTTCCGTTTGGTTTCGAAGCAAAGAAACACCAAGGAAGGAGATTTTCGGTTTTGACAGCGCAAGAAATGAAGCGAGAGCCAAAAAATAAAAGAGAGGGAAAGAGGAGGCGAAGGAAAGAAACGGTTTCCTTCCTTTCCTCCCCACCCCCTCCCCGCTCTTTCACTTGAGCCATTTTTCGCGCGGTCTTTGACCCTCGTCCCTCGTTCTTTGCTCCGAAACCAAACGGAAACGCTTGCTAGGCAGCCTAACGCATTTTGAATTGCATATTTCTATTTCGTTCTTATTCATTTGGAACTAAAAGGATAAATACGTTCATGCCCTTCCGAAGTTGCCTCGAAAACCCTACTCTACTCCAGACCAAAATGGGCAAAGTCTGTACCGGTTTTCAAACCAAAAAGGCCCAAAACTGGTTCCATACCCTTTGAGGGGGGGGCACATACCTATATGGCTTATATAAGGGAGTACCCCCCAAGGGTTAGGACACCTAGCCATGACCAAGGCCAGGAGCCTATGATTATGAAACGCCTATGGCTGCAGTCAAGGCAAGTTGACATGCGTTAAGTAAAAAAATCTTCGCTCAAAACGTGCAAATACCTGAATAAACCAATAAATGAAATGAAATAAAACTTGTTTTGCAACATTGCTGCAAAACGAGATGAAAAGCGATGATGCGCGTTTTACCACCTACGAATTAAACCTGGCTTGCAACGCTCACAGAGTTTTGCAGTGTATGGAAAGTTGTTGCAAAGAATGTGGAGAGTTTTTCTTTTAATCACGGGCCAACTGGAGCTAGTAAAAGTGGAAGTAAACGACTACAAGATCTAGCAGCAAAAACGAAAAGAAGAGATATGATTGTTTGCCTACGATGTAAAAGAAAACAGAGACGAAAAGCCACAATCAGAATCGCTTCTTTTCATCTCATAAGGTTCTTGCGTCTTTTCCCTTAAAAATTTATAAAGACAATAAGCGAGGGAAGGGGTGTCCGAAGTAAGGAAGGGGGTGTGTATGTGAAGAAAGATAGAGGATAATGTATCCAGGGTAAAAGGGGGAAGAATACCTGGGTAAGGAAGGGCCTTATATCCAAGGAAAAGCCAGGAGGGAGGGGAAAGGAAGGGAGGTTTATCAGGGGGAAGGAAGGGGATGAGTATTAGGAGTGAAGAAAGCGAGATATATCAGGGGAAAGGAAGGGGAGGTGTATTAGGGAAAGGGAAGGGGACGTATATCAGGGGTAAGGAAAGGGAGGTAATATCAGGGGAAAGGAAGGGGAGGTGTATCAGGGAAAGGGAAGGGGACGTATATCAGGGGTAAAGAAGGCGAGATATATCAGGGGAAAGGAAGGGGAGGTGTATCAGGGAAAGGGAAGGGGACGTATATCAGGGGTAAAGAAAGGGAGGTATCAGCGGGGTAAGAGAGGAGACGTGTATCAGTGGTAAGGAGGGAGGCGAAATTAACGTATCTGTGGTAAGAGGGGATAAAGGATTATTTTCGCTGCTTTACGGTATACCTTTGCTATCGTATCCTGGAGCTTCTGTGGTGCGCGTATGGCGCGCGAAGAAAACGCCTCATTGGCAGTGAAGTTGCGTGAACACTAAACGAAACTCCGAGAAAGCAAATAATACATTTTATCGATTGTTATTCGCGTTACTTAACTAATCCCCTACAGTGAAGTCGTTAAGGAACCTAAACTTCAAAATGAACAGAAACAATACAGTGGAAGCTCTCGTGAGTGGACACCCTTGGGGTGAAAAAGGTATCCATAACTGGAGCTGGCCGCTTACGGGAATCTAAAATTACAGAGTTTGTTTGGGACTTGAGAAAAACGGGGTTTTGTGAAAGTAGCCGTAAATAGAGCTGTCCGCTTACGACAGCGTCCGTTAGGACAGCTTCCACTGTTACTACACAGTAGGGAAAACCTTTGTACCATGACCTCGATCTGCGTGTTTACGTTGATGTACACTTATTTACTTGCTTGATGGATCACTTTCAAGAACATGTCGACATAAATTCCTTAAAAAACAGGGCTAGAAATTAATACTCAGAAACCCGCAAAATTGTTTTTGGGGGTTGCGCAGTTAAGCTGTACGTTCCCGCTGTACTAGGTAAGCACAGAAGATGACTTATGTTTTGTGGCACGCTTGGGTTTTTGTTTGAACTGTGACAGACACGCCTCTAATTTTTCAAGTGGCCACGGTTCTCGAGGAAAACATTACAGTAATTTGAAGTTACTTTCGCCAGTGAAAAGCTGACAAAGTTTTGCAAGTGGCCTAAAAAAGATAATTTCTAGCCCTGAAAAAGAATAATCCATCTATGCGAAAATTTATTAAGTCTGATTTCCTCATACCGTAAAATTCGGAAATAAGCCCTTCCATGTATAAGCCCCTCCAAATATAAGCTCCCCCAAACCGGTAACGCAAAAAACCCTCCGTTAAATCGCCCCTCCAAATATAAGCCCACGGGGGCTTGTACTTGGAAAATTGCCCTCAAATACAAAAAAAAAACAAAGCAAAAACGGTAAATTTACTTCCAGCTATAAGGCTGGCTCAATCGATTTGGAAACGCAAATTTCCTTCCGTAGATAAGCCCCTCAAAAAGGCCCTCTGAAAAATGTAAGCCCCGGGGCGTATTTTCGGAATTTTACGGTATCCATTTAGCTATGACTAAAAGGAGAAATAGAACAAGCTTACTACAAACCCTCGATAATCTTTAAAAGTGTTTCAAGCTCCCTTTCTTTCCTGAATTCTTCTTTAGTTACAGAAAAGAACCCAACATAGTCTCGTTGTATTTTCTTTTAAGAAAAAAAGCAATTTTCTCTGAACTATTTTCAGAGACGCTTTTAATCCAAGCTGAAAATGTCAAGTCCACCCTTCATGACTGAGTTTAAGAACGCATTTTTTCGCTTATAGTACTTTATTTCTAGCCTGTGTATAGTAGGCACTTAGAAGTTGTGGGTGAAAGAGAGAACAGGAGGGCGCGTGTCTCCTTCTCGCGCGCCGTTTTTTTTGTGCCCATAGCCTACGTGGCAGGCGCAAAAAGGGGAGGGGGAAGGAGAAAAGCACTATCCCCCACCCCTTTCGACGCTACGGAGGCTATGTGCCCACTACTTCCAAGCGCAGGCTATTTAATTCTCTCAATTATACAAATTTCGATGTTGAAAATAAACTGACGTTTAAGTTTAGGTGTTAAAAAAATAGGACAAATACAAAGACACCTGTGTGACTACCAGTATCATTAACATTGTTTTAACAAACCTCGATAAGCTTTTACAATCAAGTCTCCTTAAACAGGACCCATTTTGATAAGTTGGTCTCGACAAGAGTCACAAGACACCACTGCCTCAAGGTTGTCTTTAAGCCTTATAGAAAAAATTGCTTGTTCGAAAATTTTACATGCACCTAAAGTACCGTAAAATTCCGAAAATAAGCCCAGGGGCTTATATTTTTCAAAGGCCCTTTTTGAGAGGCTTATTTTTGGAGGGGCTTATATTCGGAGGGGCTTATCTACGGAGGGAAATTTGCGTTTCAAACTCGATTGGGCTAGCCTTGTAGTTGGAAGTAAATTTACCGTTTTTGCTTTGTTTTACTTGGTATTTGAGGGCAATTTTCCAAGTACAAGCCCCCGGGGGGCTTATATTTGGAGGGGCGATTTAACGGAGGGTTTTTTGCGTTACCGGTTTGGGGGGCTTATATTTGGAGGGGCTTGTACACGGAGGGGCTTATTTTCGGAATTTTACGGTATATTGTTTACCTGAGGCTTTCTTTGCAGGGCTACAAATTGTTTGTTTACGTAAGGCCAAATCTCCAACTAAATGTAAGTCAACACTTTCAGTGGGCAGCACAAAGACTCACCACAAACCACAGTTTAAGTTATTAGGGGTAGACATAACATAACATAACATAACTTTATTATTTG